TTAAATACTAAATTGGGGAGCCTAATTCAATATTAATACAAGGGGTTTGAACTGGACATCCTAATGATGCAATTATGTAACCATCGAGCTCTTCAGGGTGGTTGGCAAACTCTGCATATCCCCCCTGAGAGGCTCCAAAATGTCGACATTGCATTCCATAGTCTTCTGGGTCAACTGTTGAAAAAGGCAGGTTTTCTTTTTGGCCTAGCTTTTGCTGCAGATTACATTTTTTTGAGGATTCTCTTCTTCCTTAGCGTCTTTTCTGCTCTCTTTCCCTCTCTGTCTCTCTCTCGTGCTCCCCCTCTGTAGCTTTTTTGCTCATGACTATTTTTACGTCTCTTTCTTTATGTTTCCTCCAGCCCTTGTCTCTGAGACCATGTTTTTCTCTCCATCCCCCGTCGTCTTTTCAAATGACCAGATCTACTATTTTGCGGTGGTCATCAGAACCTGCCTAGAAGGGTTTTGTCATTGCAGCCATAGTAATATGCTGTCCTAGTCCATAAACGACTGGTGCTACCCACCCGCCACCGCCAGGATATGCGTTTGAGTTCGGGATGCTTCTAGGTGCAGCGAAGGGCTGAGCTACCCCACATTCTCCCCTGGGGGCTCAGAATAGAACCTCAAACAGTAATGAGAGGTTGAAGAAACCTGAGGCTTTAGGACGTAAGTTTTTCCTCCATGCGATGCTAATTAGCTAAAGAAAGAAAGACATGGCCAAATCTGTAAATCAAGCCCCATGACCCAAGTGAGCAGATCACCCCCAAGCCAGCCACCGGCTCAGACGTGTTGAGCTGCTGAGGGTCTGACCCTGGGACCTGCTGGTTCCCAGCGAAGTATCTTTGGGGATTCCAGAGAACACTGGGGCTTCTCGCTCTGGGGCAAAAAATATTATTTTTTCCTGTTCAGTTCTTCTGGAAGATACCATGCAATACAGTAGTCCCCCCGCTTCTACACAGGGGATACATTCCAAGACCCCCAGTGGATACCTGAAATCGCGAATAGTACTGAGCTTTATATATATATTATGTTTTTCCCCCCCATACATGCTTGTGAGAAAGTTTAATTTATAAATTAGGCACAGTAAGAGGTTAACAATAACTAATAATAGAATCATTGTAACACTATACTCTAATAAAAGTTATGTGACTGTGGTCTCTGTTTCGGAAAAATACCTTATTACACTGTACTCACCCTTCTTGTGATGATGTGAGGAGATGAAGGGACGTGAAGGACGTAGGCCGTGTGACGGAGCGTCAGGCTGCTACTGACCTTTGGACGGGACATCAGAGGGAGGATCACCTGCTTCTGGCCTTCGGTTGAGCCCGAATTCCTGACACCTTGAAAAGCAAGCCCACAGATAAAGGGGAGCTACTGTACAGGGAAGCCTACTAAACTCGGATAATCCTGGGGAGATTTGACTTCAAGTGCACCTTCCTTTGCAAGGGGAAGAATCTGTTGAATGAGAGGCTAGCATCCCCGTCAGAGCCCTTGTGGGGAGAAAGCCTTACAAGTCAAACGTGCCCCTCCCCGCCCCCTGCAGCGTGCGCAGGTGACCTCGTGTCCACGTCCCTGCCTTTTCTCAGCGACCCTTCCTTCAAGCTGCCTTCGTGCCCATCCCTGTCTTTGCTGTTTTGTGTTGAGTTTCCTTCCCGATCGCGTTTACAGGTTCTCTTAAGCGACATTCAACGTTTGCAGGCTTTGATCAAACCAAATCTGCTTTTGTAAAGCATAACACAAAAAAGGTCGGTCGTTCCCTCATTACGCTGGTGTCCCCACACGTTTTGCCTTGGGGGGTTCTGCTGGGGGGGTATAGTTTCTCGTCGTCGTTGTTTATTTGTTATTTTAAAAGGAAACTGCACTTTGAAAGAATAATTGGTTAACTTAATATATTTGCTTTTTTTTTTTTAATCTCACCTGCACTTAGAGGAAATTTGAACAAGTCGGATTTTTTTTTTTTTTTTTTTTGGTTTCCATTCTAAGAAACACTTGCAGCTCTTATAGTATTCACTTGGGTCTTCCTGTTTTTCCTGTACCAGGTCATGGCGATTTTGGTTATTTTGATTGTTTTCTCGAAGCCGCTTAAAACCTGAAGATGTCTGCAGGCTGTGGAAGCATGTTTATCTGTTGGCTTGCTTTGTGTGTCTGTTAAATGAATGTCATATGTAAATGCGAAAATAAATGGACAGTGTCTCCGAACTGAATAACTGCAGTGACTTGATGCTCTAAAACAGTGTAGGACTTAATACATAGATGGTTTTTAATCCTTGAAATTGTGATTGTGACCCATGAGTGGAGGAACTTTCAGTGCTGAAGCCGATAATGTGTGTAGCCAGGAGAGTACCTTTTTTTTTTTTTTTTTT